TCCCTGGGCTGCTGCTCACCTCGTGCTCCAGGGAGCTGTACTCGCCCTCCGTCTGCTCTCGGATGATCACGAGGTCCAGGTTGTTGTGGCGCGTTTTGTAGCCCGGCAGGCTCTTCACGTGCACCACGTTGGCAAACAGGTCCAGCTTGCGCCTGCAAAGGCAGCACAGGCTGAGTGCGGGGGCAGATGTTCCTCCCTGCAGGCGCTGGGAGAACCCCAGGGCCAGGCTGCAGGTCTCCACCTCAGGGAACGTTTCCCCATCCCTACCCGCTCCCTCCAGGATCAGGAGCCAAGCGCTGCCTCCCATAGGTCATCCCTGTCCCTCTGCCATCCACCCACACCCCCTCCCGGGTCTCCAGGATCCCAAGGAAAGCTCACAGTCCATCCCAGTCACCAGGGGCACATTCTGTTTTTCCCCCAAACTTTTCCTTCCTGTTAACCCCTGGTTTTCCCGCCCCGCCATGGCTCGGCGCCGGCTCACCTGAGCCGCATGTCGTAGGACGCCAGCTCCCCCTTGTACTCCATGGGCGTGTGGATCTTGCCTGTGGGGACACGGGAGGGCAGCGGGAAGGGGGCTGCTCCCTGCACAGCCCGGAAGGGGTCTGCACCCTGCACAGCCCGCACGGGGGCTGCCAGACCCCCAATGTGGGGACTGAGTGCCCACCACAGGGCACCCAGGGGGCCCTTGGCTTCCCTGGGACATTCACGATAGGATCTGGAATCAAAAACCAACTTAGAATAACTTTCAACAGGCCAAGTTACCAGGTAGTGCTGGTTTGTTTCTCAGCTTAAAGAGCCCGTGTTTCCTTCTGCGGGACCTAGGGCACAAAAGCTGTTGTGCTCTGACGGCATCTAAGGGGGTTTGGGCAAGGGCAACATCCTTCGCGCAGAGGGAGGCCCGGCCCTGCTGCAGGGGGGCTCGTGCCACGCCAGCTCCTCACCTATGAGGGCCACCTTGCTCTCCTTCATGGAGTCAACCACCTGGTCGAGCTTCTCCTCGGACGCCGTGTTCTGCACCTCGCTCAGGTGGTGCTCGTCGAAGAGCACTGGCACGCTGGCGGCCTGCGGGACGCGGGCGCTGAGCGCGGGG